GCACATGAGTAACACATTTGGATTTATTTTCTTTCTGTTAATTATTCTCATCTTGTCCAAACTCACAGAAAAGCATCCACGTGACACACTATTGTAAAGATGGCGTTTATTAAAGAGGAGAGTGAAGACATTAGGATTGCAGAAGTATTCAGCATCAAACATGAAGAGACTGAGGAACAAACAGGTTGGTGTCTTTCTCAAAGCTGAACTCAGTCAGTTGAGTCTTCTTCACAGTACAGCTCTACAGAAATGAATGATGTTTCTGAAGAATGTCATATGATTTTCCTAATTCTGGCTTTTATTTGACCTGGAGTGTAGGCTAAAGGGATAGTTCACCCAAAAATGAAAATTACCCCATAATTTGCTCACGCTCAAGCAGGGCCGGCCCTGGCCAAATTGCTGCCCTAGGCAAGATGTTACCTGGTGCCCCTTCCCTCACATTAACATTAATGAATATTAACTAACTTGAACTGACAATGAACAATACATTTGTAACAGTATTTATTATTTTTGTTAGCATTAGTTATTGACAACTAACCTTTAAATAGTTTCCAGTGAAACTATAAAAATGTAGGCGCTGCCTAAGTCACTTTGTAAATTAAACACAATTACACATCAAGAATAGTTACATCTGATAGTCCTGCACAAAACTGTATTCATTTGAACACTTCTCGAGCATACAGTAGGCTACTGTATGAATATCTTTGTATTATTTATCTTCAACTTCTACTGTATGATTATCTTCAAAATAAATGTGAAAAGTCTTCGATTTCCAGAAGTTGGCAGCAATGTTCTACTAGCCCATTCTAATGTTACCATCACCAGGAATTATACTGAGAAACATACATCTTTAAAGTGAATTTTTCATTAGTTTTACTAGTTTAATAAGCCCAGTTATATACAAACATTACTAAATTAGCCAATTCAAATTAAAAATACAATAAATCCCCAAAAACTTTACAACTATAGTGTAAAACGTGTTGTCATAGTACACGAAAAAGGACACTTATGTTTCAAGATCATGGATCTTTGGAACTCCAGACATTGTTATTACCCTATTTTAAACTTTTAGACTATAGGCTTTCTAGACTAGGCCAACGTAAAGTTTGTTCACAAACTTTTACCACATCTAGAGCCCTTAAATGCATATGCTACCTTATGTCTTTAGTGAACCGGGAGATCATTCACTAGCTTCTCCCTTCTCCATTTTTTTATTTTTTTATTTACATATCTGATGACTCAGTAAGTGCAATGCATCTTTATTCCTCGAGGTGGCACTGTTTGACACACAATGATGACGTGATGTTTCACTCATAATTACCGCAGGCATAAAACTAAAGAATATCATCAGCAAAAATTGAACTGGTTTGAATGGCTTTACTGCAGAAAAAAAAATTAATAAAATTATTTAAAAAAAAGGGATCGGCGGTGCCCCTAGCATTTGCCTATTTCGCCTATGCCATGGGCCGGCCCTGCCCTCAAGCTATTCTAGGTGTATATGACTTTCTTCTTTCAGACGAACACAATCAGAGTTATTTAAAAAAAATATCCTGGCTGTTCCAATCTTTATAATGGCAGTGAATAGGGGGTGAGATTTGGACAATCATTTGCATTTGACTTACATTAACTTCCGTGACGTAGTGCACACTCCTATGATGTGCTACGCAACACTACGCATTCTAAGCACATGAGCTATGCAGCACATCATAGGAGTGTGCACTACGTCACGGAAGTTAACACAAGTCAAATGTGAATCTGCATGGCTCCAGAAGCTAGTTGTTTTGTTTAAGTCTTTAAATAAGGATATTTGTCTTACACATTGATCCAATTCAGAAGGCCTTTATAGAGTATTTCCGGTTGGTGTATTCTGTCGCATGTGGCCTGTTTTACACCTTCATCCGGACGTTGTCCGACAATCTCGTCGGAAATACATTCATCGTGGGTCCCGGCGGAGCTACAGCATTGATGCTACAAATCCAAAATGGTCCTTTTGGTCGTACAAGGAGATCTGTACGGATTACGGATCACAGCGTGCTTACTAGCTTTGCCAGATCGGGTAAAAGTAACAATGGCAAATCAAAGTTCTCAGTTGGATTATTTAAAATCCGATCCCTTTCAAATAAAGGCCCTCTGGTCCACGACATCCTCACTGAATGTAAGTTTCATTTTTTTTGTGTCTGAAACTTGGCAGCGGCCTGATGACTTTCTACACCTGAATCAGTCAGTCCCCTTAGAATATGTCTATGTTTGTAAACCCTGTGATTCTGGTCGGGGAGGGGGACTTGCGATTATACATAAAGAGAAGTGGAGAGTAACTCATGTAACTGTGCCTACATCTACCTCATTTGAATCTACTGTTCTTAAGATTAATGGTTCAACACCTATCATCGTTGCTACTCTATATCGGCCTCCTAAGACAAACTCAAAACTTTTTTTTATGCTCCATGTCTCCTACTGTGATTATGTTGGGTGATTTTAACATCCATATCGGTAATGTTGACAGTCCACTTACAAGGGAATTTACATCGTGTCTCGATAGTTTTGGTATACAGCAATATGCCAATACTCCTGCTCGCTCTAAAGGACATATTCTTGATCTTATTTGCTGCTCTGGAATAACTCCTCATAATTGTACAGTTTCAGACTTGTCCATTTCTAATCATTTTCTGGTGCCTTTCAATGTTTATGCTACATTGTCTAAGGTTAATGTAAGACGCTCTGTCACTTTCCGTAATATCAAGTCTATTGATATACCTGCTTTTGCTGATAATTTTGCTAATTTTGCCAGCGAAGTTGATTCATCCACTGTGGAGGACATGGTTGCTGCTTATAATCATGGTCTTTGTGAGATTTAGGATGTGTATGCTCCTTTGAAAACCCGAATTGTTTCTTTTACCCACTCAGCTCCTTGGTATACTCCTGAATTGCATCAACTTAAGGCTAAAGGCTGTCGCCTTGAACGCTTGTATGCTGGTCTTCCGGATCATAAAGTATTATATGCTCATCATATGCACGATTATAAGGACGCTATCACAAATGCCAAGTCTGAATTTTATACTAAATTATTTAAGACAAGGGAAGGGGATACTCGATTTCTTTTTGCAACTGTCAATAAGCTTCTGCAGTCTCCCGAACCTTTACCATCTTATATGTACTCCACTAATGTATGTAAAACTTTTATGGACTATTTTAATATAAACATTCAAAATATCCACAAGCAAATACTTTCAAATAATGTTGATAGTGATAGTTTAGATTTATCTCTTATTAAATCTACACTTCCTACCTTTGCTACCTTTAATCTTCCTGCCACTGATGAGATAATTTCTATTATCCAGAAATCTTAATCTACTACTTGCCATCTCGATCCTCTTCCGACACACTTAGTCAAAGCATGTTTATCCTCTCTGTCTTCTTTAATCACTGGGATTATTATTTCTTTGTTGTCTTCTGGTATTGTTCCTTCATCACTTAAAACAGCTACAATAACTCCTATTCTGAAAAAAAAGCAAAAAAAAAAACAGTAGAAGATCCAACTAATCTTGAGAACTTTCGTTCAATCTCGAACTTACCATTTATTTCTAAAATATTAGAAAAGATAGTTGCAGCTCAGATTGCAGACTTTATGTCTGATAATAAACTGTTTGAAAAATTTCAGTCTGGTTTTCGGCCACTTCATAGTACAGAAACCGCGTTAGTCAAAATTACCAATGATTTGCTTAGGGCAGCGGATTCTGGACAGTTAACATTACTTACCTTGCTTGATCTGAGTGTGGCCTTCGATACAGTCTCACATAACATCTTACTAGGCATCTGTCCTGGTTTAGATCGTATCTCTCTGGACACACTCAGTTTGTCCAACTCAAACAAATGTAAATCTGAATCATCAAATGTTACCGCAGGAGTCCCCCAAGGTTCAGTCTTGGGCCCTTTGTTGTTTATTATTTAGTTACTGCCTCTGGGACAAATTTTTAGGAAATTTGGTATCCATTTTCATTGTTATGCAGACATACTCAACTCATTATGGCGAGCACTAGCAAAGCATTTAGGGATGTGTGCATCCGTGTTGATGTTGTTTAACATCTGATGGCACACACGATCTATGCGTTGTTTTGTTTGGGCAAAGAGCACGCACGCGATGAGGGGGCAATCGGCGTGCACTGCAAGCGTTTTTTCCAAGGAAAAAAAAAAGCTCCGCTCTCGTTTGTCTCTCTTTTCGAGGAAAGAGGGGCAGCCATCTGCTTCCCGCGATCCAGGCCCCGCCACTGCTGAGGCACGGAAGGGAATGAGCTCATGGGGATCGCAGGTGGATCTGGCCGATGAGTTTGAACGGGGGTTTCCCTTTCGTGATTGTCGGCTGTGCACGAGAGTGAACCGCTGGAGGATGATGTTATTTCATTAACATTGTCTGATTCAGGGGCCATTGCTCTGCTGGAATCAGCCCAGCAAAAGCAGGAAATAGTTATTTTTCTGGCCATAAACCCTCCAGCTCAGGTGAGCCTTCCTTTCTTCCTGTTTTTCATATAAAGATTGAGAAGGAATGGAAGAGGCCGTTTTTTCCTCACGCATCCATCAATTCCAGCATTCAAGTTATGCCAACATCGAGGCGATGTGCAAAAGTGGTTATGAGAAGATGCCCCTATAGTGAGACGCTGCTCAGCTATCTCTCTATGGGTGAGACGTCCTCTAAGACTCCCTTCCTTGACATCTCGCTCGGATGCCAGGGCATACGCAGCAGCAGCAGGTCGGGCTGTCGCTTCATTGCACACGATGTTGATTCTCCAAGCATATCAGGCTGACCGGCTGAAAGACCGGGATAAAAGTCCAGGTCTGAGCCCGAACAACACATGGGTCCTAGCCCGTCTCAGTTTGAGGCTCAGAAGGCTAGTGTCGTGGCTCTCGCTCCTCCCCTGCCCGCAGGTAGGGGTAGGAAGAATCGCGGGTCAAAGGAAGGTGAGTAAAAGACCTAAGGGATGTGATCCAGACAGCACAAAAGCCACATGAGAATTCACTCCAGTGAGAAGACATTTACGTGCCAGCAGTGTGGAACGAGTTTCACTGAAAAAGGAAACCTTAAAAAACACATGACAGTTCACACTGGAGAGAAGCCTCATGCCTGCAAATTGTGTGGAAAGAGCTTCACTGAAAAAAGAAACGTAAAACTCCACATGAGCGTTCACACTGGAGAGAAGCCTTACACCTGTGAACAGTGTGGGAAGAGTTTCACACAAAAAGGACATCTTAAAAGCCACATGAGAATTCATACTGGAGAGAAGCCTTATACATGCACTCAGTGTGGAAAGAGCTTCACTGAGAAAAGAAACGTAAACCTCCACATGAGCGTTCACACTGGAGAGAAGCCATTCACTTGCCAACAGTGTGGGAAGAGTTTCACACAAAAACAACAACTTAAAGTCCACATGAGAAGTCACACGGGAGAGAAAGCTTTTACTTGCCAACAGTGTGGAAAGAGCTTCACTGAAAATGTACACCTTAAAGTCCACATGAGAAGTCACACTGGAGAGAAGCCTTACACCTGCCAACAGTGTGGAAAGAGCTTCTCTCAAAGAGGACATCTTAAAGTCCACATGAGAGTTCACACTGGAGAGAAGCCTTACACATGCACTCAGTGTGGAAGGAGGTTCACAACAGAAATAAACCTCAGGTATCACATGAGAGTTCACACCGGAGAGAAGCCGTTCACATGTGATCAGTGTGGAAAGAGTTTCAAACAAAAAAAATCCCTTAATTGTCACTTGAGTTCACCCAAGAAGTGTGGAAAAAGTGTCAGCCTAAACCTGGGGTCAGCATCCTTTATGTCATGAAGTGCCATTTTTAAGTTTACTAGTTAATCCCTGTGACACAACCTGTGACCCCCATATGTATAAATGCACAAACTTGTTCAGTTTGCACATCGGCTTGCTGAAGATACTCAGCTACTCCTCTGTGGAGGGCCAGATCTGTGGTGATGTGTGTTGCAGTAGTGCTGTCACATCTGGTTACTGCAAGCCATTATAACACTCTCTGGCATGTTTATTTTTTTTAGCATTTTGAGAGGAGAAAAGTTTACATATGTTCATAACAGAAATAAAATGGACACACGTGTGTCACAGAAACAAAGAAAATGAGAAATTGAAGTGGTTTTATTTTGCATTTACATTCTTGTGACATTTTATATTATATTGCTGTTAGGAACACTTAAAAAGGTTGATCTTTATTATTTAACGAACTTCTTGATGTTTGTTTGCTTTTTTCAGACATGTTTTATAAAATTGTACACGTAAGCCCCATACAGGTGAAAACTCACAAACAAGTCATAGAATTTCCTCTGTGGTCCTTTCCAATAAAAACTATTATTTGCATGTGTTTATCAGGTTTTTTTAAAAAGAAATCCCTATTAGGTTATATGGCACATGTCTTCACTCAGTTTGTCACTACACTCATCTACTATAAGGAATGTAAATCAGGGAGGACACACACAATCACAATTCATTTTGCCAGTTGATAGGCAATGGTAAAAGTAACATTTTACAAAAAGTTTTTATTTTTATTTTTTTGGAGTCGGTGGCCCTATAAAAAAAAAAGTTTAATTACATGGACAAATCTTTGTTAAATTAAACATTGTTAAATCTATTTCTAAAAAAAGTTCAACTAAAACATATAAGTGTGTAGCCATTTACAAAATCTCACAGATTATTTTCATTCAACAACCCGATATGTGTCGGGTCCCCGCAATGATAGCAGCGACATTCACAAATGTTTACAGAACAAGCGGGAACCCAGTGTGCCTGTAGCTTTCTCTATTTCTGTTCTATCACGCGACAGAAAGTCTAAGGCCTTCTCAAGCCGTACGGCTGACATTAGTCACATTTAAATCCAGACTCAAAACTCGTATGTTTAGCTCTGCATTTAGTGAATGAGCACTGTGCAACGTCCTAACTGATGCCGCTGTAGTTTATGTACAATCTTTTTCTATTCTTAACTGTTTTAATTAATTTAAAATCAATTTAAGGTTATTTTTAATTTCCTTGTTTTATTTTATTTTATTTTTTATGATTATTTTAATTCCATTTATGTAAAGCACTTTGAATTATCATTATATATGAAATGTGCTATATAAATAAATTTGCAAAAAAATAAATATATAAATATGTATTTCATCAATAATTTAACTCTTCTATTCTTAACTGTTTTAATTAATTTAAAATCAATTTAAGGTTATTTTTAATTTCCTTGTTTTATTGTCGTGACTATTTTTTATGATTATTTTAATTCCATTTATGTAAAGCACTTTGAATTATCATTATATATGAAATGTGCTATATAAATAAATTTGCAAAAAAATTAATATATAAATATGTATTTCATCAATAATTTAACTCTGAACATGTCTGATTTTCGTGTGAGAATGGGACTTTTATTGTGGAATTGGAGATATGACCTCATAAGGCTGTGCCTGGCTCCTGCTCTGTTGTGATTTGGCTGAAGAAAGGCTTGTGTTTTGAGCTTTTGAAGTGTTCCAAACTGTTCAGGCAATCTTATGCTTCTAGCCAGAACTCTTAAATGTATGTTTCTTTACTGAATGCAACATTGTAATGCTTTGTATAATTTTTTTTTTGTTTGAGCAAAGTGCATCTGCACATGAGTAACACATTTGGAGTTATTTTCTTTCTGTTAATTATTCTCATCTTGTCCAAACTCCCAGAAAAGCATCCACGTGACACACTATTGTAAAGATGGCGTTTATTAAAGAGGAGAGTGAAGACATTAGGATTGCAGAAGTATTCAGCATCAAACATGAAGAGACTGAGGAACAAACAGGTTGGTGTCTTTCTCAAAGCTGAACTCAGTCAGTTGATTCTTCTTCACAATACAGCTCTACAGAAATGAATGATGTTTCTGAAGATTGTCATATGATTTTCCTAATTCTGGCTTTTATTTGACCTGGAGTGTAGGCTAAAGGGATAGTTCACCCAAAAATGAAAATTACCCCATAATTTGCTCACGCTCAAGCTATCCTTGGTGTATATGACTTTCTTATTTCAGACGAACACAGAGTTGTTTAAAAAATATATATCTTGGCTCTTCCAAGCTTTGTAATGGCAGTGAATAGGGGGGGAGATTTTGACGGTCATTCGCATTTGACTTGTGTTAAAGTGCCCCTATTATGGGTGATGAAAGGTTCATATTTTGGTTTTGGGAGTCCCCAGCAACAGGTTGACATGCATGCAAGGTCAAAAACACTTTCATTGTCTTATAATATGCATTCATTTTTACCTTACTTGCTCAACGACTCCCAAACGATTCATTTTTCCAAACCCCTCTTTTGCGTGACACTAATCTGCGGTGATTGGTCTGATTAGTCTCATTTTCATGTCATCTCGTCTGTAAAGCCTGATAAAGCAGCGTTTGTGAGCGCAGTGCTGCTTTGTGTACAGCGTTACCGGGGAAATAGTACAGCTATTTTACCGCTCCAAAAGCGGCACCTATTGGCAAAAAATTCATTCTTTGTGGGGGAAGTCATGGCCTAATGGTTAGAACCGGGGAAATAGTACAGCTATTTTACCGCTCCAAAAGCGGCACCTATTGGCAAAGAATTCATTCTTTGTGTGGGAAGTCATGGCCTAATGGTTAGAGAGTCGGACTCATAACCCAAAGGTTGTGGGTTCGAGTCTCGTACCGGCAGGGATTGTAGGTGGGGGGAGTGAATGTACAGCGCTCTCTTCCACCTTCAATACCACGACTGAGGTGCCCTTGAGCAAGAACTGAACCCCCAACTGCTCCCCGGGCGCCGCAGCATAAATGGTGCCCACTGCTGCGGGTGTGTGTTCACGGTGTGTGTGTGCACTTAGGATGAGATAAATGTACTTTTTCATTCAGACCAACGCAAAACGACCAACAATTGGGCGGGCAGTATGCTAATGTTTCATGTTGACGTCAACATGGTACGGCTTGGGATTCATTTTAAAACGACTCGTTTCAATGATTCAGAGTCGACTCTTTTTTTTTTTTTGAGAGAGACAATAACTTTATACACGGGGCACTTTCAGATTTAAAACTTGGCAGGATGTTTTCATTCACTTAGAGCTGTGCTACACACATCCATAATAGGGGCACTTTAACTTCCGTGACGTAGTGCACACTCCTAAGATGTGCTACGCAACACTAATCATAGGAGTGTGTACTACATCACAGAAGTTAACGCAAGTCAAATGCGTATCTGCATGGCTCCAGAAGCTAGTTTTGCTTTATGAAGTTTTAAATAAGGATATTTGTCTTACACACATGCAGTGATTCACTTCAGAAGGCCTTTATTAACCTCTTGGAGCTGTGTGAAGTACGTTTTATGATCGCTGGATGATTTTTGAGCTTCAAAATCTCATCTCCCATTCACTACAATTATAAAGCTTGGAAGACGCAGGGTATTTTTTTTTTTATAATTCTGATTGTGTTTGTCTGAAAGAATAAAGTCCTATACACCTAGGCTGGCTTGAGGGTGAGTAAATCATGGGGTAATTCTCATTTTGGGGTGAACTAACCTTTTAACTTGCATTTGTCTCTATCAGACCTGAAGGTGCTGAAAGAGGAGAGTCAAGTACTGAATGAAAATGAAGACAAGTACCTGGTCGAGGAAAATCCCGATTTCAAAACGGAAGAAAAATATTTTAGCTGTTCGCAGACTAAAAAGACTTCTACACGAATAAGAGCTCAGAAGACAGGAACTAGAGGTATCTCCTGCAAACACTGTGGAAAATGTTTACTCATAATGGAAAGCTTAAAAAGCACATATGAATTCACACTGGAGAAAAGCCTTATGCATGCACTCAGTGTGAGTTTCATTGAAAAAGGAAACCTTGAAAAACACATATGACAGTTCCAGTTGTGTATAAAGTACCTGAAAGCCATATTCAAGTAAAAATACAGATATCTTACCAGAAAATGACTGGTAGAATCATCACTAAATGATTTATTCAACCGATTCGTTCAAAAAGCTGATTCATTCAGTAAGTAAACACCATTGCTCAAAAAGACACAAAACAGTGCTGTGATCTTTGTTTGGAACTCTTTTTGTTGGCAAAATTGAGCAAAAACAAGCAATATTATGTCTAAAATGTAAATCACTTATTGCTAACTTTACTGTACTTGTATTAAATTATCATTAAATGTGTTATCATGCTGATGTGCAGAAAAACGGTACTCTTTGTGTGATATATATTAAATTATATAAATATATAAAGCATACAGAAGCATTTTTGCCATCTACAATTTTGAATGCCTTGAATTTACAATTTTAATAGACTAATAAATCATGTGCATGCACTCTCTGTGTGTGATTTGGCGATATAGCCTACTTGATAATGTCAGATT